AGAGATTAGCAAGCTCCATCTCCCTAGCACGTTCACACCACCAAGCTTCGCGGTCCATTTGCAGACTCCTGCGCAACTCTCGACCAAGGTATTGGCGTTCCTCACTGTGTCTGGAATCCGATGGGATCAAGTGGCGTCTGTCCATCAGCGACAAGGAGTCGGCGGAAATCCAATGTTTCGGTGGGTGACGGGTAACTCCACAAATGTCGACACTGGCGGAAACTAATGCATATTTGATATGCGCCCACTGCGAATCGAGATCACCGTCAATAGTTGAGCCAAGCAAGGTTGACAGTGTGGCTTGGTACCTAGTTAAAATCGCAGCGTTTTGTAGATTCGCGACGTCCGGTAGGTAGTGGGCGCGCCTAGGTGATCCTCAGAAACGCCTGCAAATCTTAGCACGAACCAGTGCGTGATCAGAGTCTAGAAAAGTTGACCAGTACGATCGGCAGTCCGTTACGCTTCCGCGCCATCTGTAGCTGCTTGCTATGTGGTCAAGCTGGGAGCACTCTTGCGTTTGTGAGGTCGGCCGACAGGTAGCAGTGTGTCTCCTCGAGTGTCGAAAACTAGTGCTCGAAAGAAACAAGCGATGATCAGCGCAAAGAGCAAGCAATCTGTCTCCATTGTCTGATCGACTGCCACCGAGACCAAAACTATCCCCAATGTGGTGCTCGCTTGGTAGAAGGCGGCCAACTCGTGCGTTAAATTCCCCGGCAAGAATGACTATATCCGTCTTTTTGGAGGAACGCAGAAGTTCATGTAGTTGTTGGTAAAAGCTATCTTTAACTGCATCCGGGCTGCAGTCTGTAGGGGTGTAGGCGGAGACGACAAACAAGGCACGCTTAACATCTCGACGCCTGCTTACGTTACATGAACCTCTAAGTCTGACTGCACATAGTCGGCTGTTGACTGGGATCCAGTCAAGCAGAGCTGATTCAACCCTGGCACTTAATACAACCCCAACACCAGCTTGACCAGTGGCGGCAGCTTCTGGGTCTCCGGAAATCCGCAAGTAGTGTTTGACGTCAGAGTTTACCGGAGAGGCCATTCCGATGACGGCGCTAGAATCTTGTAATCTGGTCTCTGAAAGACAACAGATGTCTACCGATAGCGTTTCAAGAGTACGGGCCAGCCATGCTTGTCGTCCGATCTGCATCAAAGTTCGAACATTAAACGCTGCGAAGATGAATGGAGAACCAGGTCGAAGAAGATCTGGAGCTTCGGTGGAGTGAGAGGCGGTTGCGATCGCAGGACATTGAAAACCGGGAGTTTGGCTGTTACTTCCATCAGCTGCGAGACGTGGGTCGTTTGTGACGGTGACCGTAGAAGACATAAGAGTATATGTAGGTGAAGGACGGGAGGTGGGGTGGTCTGTGAGTGGACGTTGAGCGGTTTAGTTAGGACAGAAGAGAGGCATAGCAGTAGCATTAGTGAGCGGTGTAGTTCATGATTCGTCAGTGGGCGTGATACTACCCGGTTGCCCAGGCCGAAGTAGACACGTGACGTAGCTGACACACCTGTGGTCAGACTCTAATGCTCGGTCGATGAGGTCTTGCTTCTTGGACCATAGCCATTCGCTCGTCTAGGTGCTCACCGTGTCTGCGCGCGCCATCAATGGAAGCGCCTGTTGGTATCCGAACTGGTCCAAACCCCCATGCCTCGGGCGTAGTGCCAAGGCAAAGTCAGCACTGTTCCGGAATCAAGACGAACGCAGACGTGGCAGTGAAGTTATCAGGTACACGGGATCACAACCCTTGGCATGATCGAACCCGTTGTGAATGGAGTCAAAACAGTCTCACAAGGGAAGCTTGAGCAAGCCAACTTTTGAGACCGTTTTGACTCCTTTCAAAACGGGCTGGAGTATGCCAGAGGTCGTGATCCCGTGTACCTGATAACTTCACTGCCGCGTCTGCGTTCGTTTTGAGTCCGGAACTGTGCTGACTTCGCCTCGCCTCTACTAGGTTGCGTGGGCCTATGTTAATTGTTACCAGTTTTTCTCTACCCCCTCTCCTCCCCAAGCGCGACTGCTTTGTGCTCCAGCTCTGTCTAGGCAGGTGTGTCCAAACTTTTCGAAAGGTGGGCCACTTTTTTGAAGTAAAAGTATGTCGGGGCATATTCAGTCTGACATTAGGATAAGGACCAAAAATGACACAAAACATTTTACAAGTTTTAGTGTGAATGTGGAAACTGAGATATGGAGATTTTCGTAATCTTGTTTTGGTTAAGACCATTTACTAAAAGTACTAGGCTGTGATTTTCTAGTTGGTTAAAAATAAGCAATACTACATCACTGCTTTTTGTCAGCATCTGACGACATCGAATTCCGTAACGTCCTTAATTTTTTGTAATTTATAAAATGTCATCTGTACAGAAAATGTGCATGCTTGAATTTTTATTTCACAATGAAGCCGCGGGCCAGTTGAAATGTTAATACGGTCTGCGTTTGGCCTGCGGGACAGACTTTGAACATCCCCGGTCTAGCTGAAGCAGCCATGCCGGCATATTGTCCGAATGCTATTGGCTTATAGAGGTTACTCACTCTGTGTGCTTTTTTGGATGCAATTTTGATGATTATCGGAGGGAAGTTGCTTCCTTATGGATGAAAGCGATCGCATTAGGGATGTAATCAGTTAAGAACTATTATAGTATGTCCATGGTATTACTCTTCTCTTCGGATTTGTCCACCTTGGAACACTCTCCCAACGCCAATTTTTGTCTCGCCATAAGTTGGCTATCTTCTAAGATCCATTGGATGTTTCTCTTAGCTCCCAGCGCTTCGTAACATGAACTGTGCTGCTGTGGTTGGGTTATCACGCCCCCATATAGGATTGAATGTCACATAGACACAAGGATTTGGTACATCAGTGAGCGACCTCATTTGTGTCTTGCTCACACTACGTCAATTATGACTTCGCCCAATTCCTTTATGCTTGCATTCAGTTTTAGTTACAATATCGTTATCCAATGGTGCATTTAACTCGAGAGTTGCTGATAAAGTTCCTTCGCATATGTGTTGATTTTGCAATTTTAGCCTCAGTCATCGTGTGGGACTTGTCATTCACCTGCATTTTAATCCGTACGAACCCGCTGTCCATTGTTCCGTGTTATCAGCACGCGTAGTCATTTGGTCGTCTCACAACAGCTACAAACTTACAGATCTAACGTGTCGATAAGACTTGCAGATCAGTTGTCGAGATCTCAGTCGCATTAACATAAGAACGCACCGTGGATTGCCTGTTTTACGAGACTCGAGAGGCCGAAGTGAAGTGCTGCGACGGACTCTCAAATAATTGCATTGAAATCCCCTACTACTGCGTAAATCAAAATGTCTGCCCTAGTTTCTAAATACTATGTTGTACATGGCAACTGTCATTGAACATCATGTCTTTCGGGGTCAACCATGTCCACTGCAACGTAGTTAACTTGCATAGGAGTGGAGGATAAGACCCGCCATATCGCTGACGTTCCGAAACTGTCCCCCGTGGCCCAGTGGTATAAACTGCTGATTGGCGGTACAAGCATCTGATGGTCATAGGTTCAGATTCTGAGGGATCCGATGGATATGCACTACGGATGATGCCCAGCAGGTTGCGAGTGCAGTCTAATGTTGTTCTGGGCATGTGAACGGCTATCTGATTGGGCACATGCTACGACCAACTCACAATTATTTACATAGAAATCCTCTACTAACGAGTAAAGCGTTATTTGCATAGCGATGGACGAGGAATTAGCAGCACGGAATTCCGCTTAGCTTTTCTATTTGTTTGTTGAAAGGCTTCGCAGATTCGACAGCATCTGTTGACGGAGATAAATGGTAGTTTGACAATAATGAGAGTGGAGAGTAGCAACGTTGGATAATCCCTAACCGAAAGTGGCAACCAAGGCCAAATCAAGTCGATTAAATAAGACATCTAGCTGCGAATGAATTCATCGGTCTTAGAGAAACTGCTCCAGATTGAATTGCTCTGAACCTCTGGGAGTTTCTTCGGACTAATGGAATCGTAATGCTGCTGCAAATAAAGAAACAATATTGCCGAGGCTAAATGCTGTATGCGCTCGGAAGTTAGCTGAGCCAATCACGCTGTAATCCGGGCTCATTATAAAATCCTGGATTTGAACGTAGTGCTGCCCAGTTACTGATATGATTGATGTCGGGGACTAAACTGACAGTTATTATGCATAAAAGTATAGAATTACCTCTGTGCACGGTGGAACAACTTGTGGTTGACTGAAAGATGGATTTTCTCGAATTTGTAGCTTTGGTTAGCAGCAATTAACTCGCGTCCTTGCTTATCACAGCTTGATGCACAATTAATTGCTCTTAGTAGATTGCTTCTACTACGTGCCGCTTGGGATTCCTTGTCACTGCAAGCTTGCAAACAAGTCACATACGGTGTTCCGAGCGTAGGCAAGCTTTGCACTGACGAGAACTTCGATCTGGCCGCAGTTAGATCACTACGCTTCTAGCCAATTCACTGTGCAGCTACAACCAAGAGAAGGTTGTGGGGTTTTAACATGCCTAAATTAGTCCGTTATATGCAGCAAACATTACTTCGATGACAACTGATATCCATAGTTTGATCGAACTCACACATCTTTACCTATTTGTAACATGAGATCTTGATGAGTGGAGGTACGGTGAGTTGATTGCAACCAACGTTTACTGTTATCATTATATGTAGTATTCACTTGAGAGCAGTGATGAATGCAACTAAATTATCATTTTATAGTAACGGTGGATTATTCTCAAGTATTAACCCTTCAAGCAACTGACAACTGAATACTTTCGGTTGGTGTTAGTTGTCGGCATAATTCATCCTTGAGTTCCATCCATGTTACCCTTCATCATGCTTAGCAGTTGATTCGAATGATCTGCGATAGGAATCCACACATATGAGTGGAAGTTTAAAAACCCTGGCTATGCGCTAACAAATCTCACGAGTATACTAAAGAAAATCAAGCGTTCGGACCACATACATATACTTATCACTACAAATACAGGCAGTTTTCAAAGAGAAACACGTTTATAAATTCTTAGCTCTGGTGGGAACTCCACTCCTGATGAATGCAGTCTATCTTCACTAGTGGAACTGCTCAAACTATCTGTTACTTTCGATAACTTAGTTGTTGTGGATCCTCGATAAGTTGAGTGAGCAAGTTGATCCTTATTTGCTTCTCTTCGCTCGCTCGAAACTTCAGATGTTCCTGCGCGGTTTGAATTAACATTCGTTCCCCCACTCTCAATCACCTTTTCATCAAAAGGCGATCTGAAGCGTTTGTCAACACGAATGGCGAATGGTTTAAACACAGAGTTTGGAACAATGGTGGATAAGTCATCGCACGAATGTCGAGAGATACCTGGAGTTGTTCTGTCGTACAAAAAGTAGCGGTTAGTAGAATCGCTATCCTCATTTCGATGAATATATACGCTCTTGCGTATGTCATTGTTGGTTAGTACAGCCCTTTGAGGAGGTTGCTCTAACTCAGAATTAAAGCAATCAGGAGCAACGTTGCTTTTGTTTTCCTCTAATCCATGTGTATCAGGAAAACAGGTAGGGTTGCTAAAATCATCATGATTGCCGTAATGCCCGTCTGGATACTTCTGCCACATCAGGCTTTGAACATTTGACCATTTTTCTTGCATTTCGTTTACTTGAATGCATTGAGGGAGGTGAATATAAGACCCTGGTGTATGCCTATGATAATCAGCACCACCTTGCTCGTCGAAAGGAGTACCTTCGGGTAGGCTGAGCGACCTGGCCAATTCGTCGGGATGCTCGCACGCTTGGATTTGTGTACACTGGCATTTGTACTGACGTGCGTGTTTGGTTTTCAGCTCAGACAGACTTCTCCGTCCATGCACAGGGATTTCAGCTAGCGAATTTGTAGCTTTGTATACATCAAAATAAGGGGCTTCAAGGGAATTGGAAAACAGAGTAGAAATACCAGAAATTAATCGCTGCATGTTATGTGATACTTGTGACCTACTCTTGCACCAATCGGTTTCCGTGTAATATACAGGAGCCTGCGTTGCTGCCTTCTCAACGTAGTGATCTCCATCGGAAATGCTCACCGGTTGTTGATCCACCCAGATGACATCACCACGGAGCCGCTGAAGTTCTTGTGCCTGAGCAGCAGCCTCTAGTTGATCGCGCCGCTCATCCTCCGTGTTCATCGTTAAAAACCGAAGTACTAATAGGTTCATGACAGAACTAACAACAGTAAGTCCAAACAGGATAAATATCAAGCTGAACACAACATAATCCGGCCTCTTGGCAAGTGAATCGTTTCGTTGCAATGCGACGAAATCTCCGAACCCAATTGTTGTCAGTGTGATGAAGCAGTAATAAAAGGCATCCAGATAGGTCCAGTCTTCATAGCGTGAAAATACTGCAGCTCCAATTGTAAGCACGGTTGAACCAGTGGTGAAACTGACAACCATAAGATTCGTTTGAGAAACCGAATGGCATTTGCACGAGAAAAACCTTTTCATGCGTTTTAGCATCCATGTGATAATCGTGTTCATACGTTCGCCGATACTTTGAAACATGACAAGACAAAGGGGGATACCGGGAACGGCGTAACACATACAGAAGATTTTCCCCCACGTAGTTTTTGGAGTGCTGTGGCCGTAACCTGCGAACAAATTAAGAAGAAAAGTTGAGGCTTGCGAGTTTTCGACCCATAGTGGTGTAGACAAGACAAGAGTGTAAACGTGCCCTCCTATATCCTAACTTATTGGACACAGTTCAAAGGTTGCTTAGAAAATAACTATCGTACTGGGTCCCGGGCTAGCTCATGACGCTATAAATATTACAAAATAATTTGATGGTGAGTTAGATCTTGTTACTAATCAGGAAGACTACAATATATTAAATACGCATGCAAGATTATCCATATTAAAAGAAAGTATTATACTCAAGGATGGAACAGAAAAAACAAGTATTCGTAAAAGAACCATAGAAGATGGTTAATAGAGTAATCGGATATATAGAAATCGCCTATAATGGTACATGATAATACCAGTTAAATGGACGTCTACCTACATGGCCTTGTATACTATGTAACTATTGAGAGTAACAACCATGGGCGCAGACTCTCGACACAAATAAAATTTCTGAGAAAATTTAAGCCATAGGACATTCAACTTCAGTCCTAAGGATTTCGACTTCATCTCATAGTCTTACAACTTCTGCCGTCCATGCGTCGGTCGTTGCTTTTGCGATCACTGCCACGTAGCTGTCTCATTGCTTATGCGCCGTCAGCCAATAGGAGGTCAGATTTAGGGATAGAGCAATCTCTAATAACGGAGGGGGCGAAGGGGTGCCGACCGTAAATGCTCGAGTGCAGTTCATCCCCAAGGCGATGACGGATGGCAAGACGCGGGTGAGACAAGTGAAGCTTTGAGTCAGCCGATGCGTGGTAGGATGAAGTTGTGACACTGGGGTCGGAAACATGCCCCATGTTATCAATTTAACAAATCCTGTTGGCGCCAAGAGCTAATATTTGTTTCACATACTATCACAGCAGGTAGCAAGTGTCATTGCGCCTAAAGTTACCAGGTGCCTGCAGTGGTGTAGCAAATACTCTCGCCGCCCGGGGCGGATGTAACATTGCCGCCAATCTGGCGGATTTAAATCCCTAAACCCTCATCAATACAAACAGTTCTTAAACACGTTGTTGCATATAAAAACAAGTAAAGAGCCAAGTATACAGTGTCAGCATAAATTCAGGAAGTTTCATTGCTTCAGTACTCGTGAACAAGATTTGCAGATAGACTTTTCGCGCATTACTTGTGGCAATAGAATTGATAACACTCTCCACCGTCAAGTTCGCTCTCTATGTTGTGAACTACGACTCCGTGAGCGTTGTCTGCCTCAATGACGATTGTAGGTAGTTCGTTATGAGCTTACGTTTAGAGAATGCGCTCTCATAGCTGGCTATGCTAATAATGCCGGTAAGAAGTATACGCAGCAGATTCCCCAAGTGATATTTCGTTATCAGGCTTAAAGGCTCGGAAGATTTATTAATTTCCTCGTTTAATGGAGCTTTCACAAAATACTGCTCTATTCCTCTTTAGGCAAGGGTTCTGTTTTGCTATATTTTCGTTGAAAATAGTATGCGGAAAACCATACTTCTTATCAAGCAGAGTTAATGGTGTGGAAAAATCCCATTTGTTCTCAAGTTCATGAATTTTCTGGAATCTATAGCATCTCATTAATCAAAATGTCTAACAGAGATGGCATTCCCCGTCTCAAATCTGCATAAATCCCATCGATATATCCAGAAATTGTTCATCGTCCATTCGCTTTATTTGACCGATTCGACACTTCATGCTTATCCACTAATTAGCGTAGCATTTGGATTCATCCGTTGCAATGTGCACCATTTTCGCTCTATCCTGAAGAAGACAGACACTTAACGCTGTGCGATTGTCAAAAGTTTGCAGATCCAACCCATTCCTTTAGACATACCTGGCATCTTAGAGGGCTATGAGACCCGATCCCTAAATGCTGATAAAAGATAAACGGAAACGACTGTACCGAGATGAGAAGCAAACATGCAGCTGATCGTGTGATTGCATTTCCTCATTGTTCTGTGAAACGTGTCAGTGAAATGACCAGTTCCGAGTATTTATTCATTGCAAAACTTTTACAGCACTTGCTTGACTATCCCATCTATATACCACAGTCATCTGATACTTCCACCGCGGACTTGAACCAAGGCAATCATATTTACCTACAACGTACAAACTATGTAATAGAATGAACGGTCGCGGAAGCTACTCAAACACATAGAATGGTTTGTGCGTGACACAGATGTAGACTTCGAGCTGAATTCACAGCTACGTCTCTGGACACCCATTGGTTAGCGCGCCATAAAAGCACCGTTTTCAAATGCTTGGCCACGACTGCCGTCAATGTGAATTCCATCCTTATCCGATTCTAGCAGAACCACTTAAGAAATGTCCTCCGACTTTTAGTCGCTGCTCTCAAGGAAACTGAGATACCACTCTTCTCCTCTCACTTGATATTCACTCATCTGAATTTTGTGAGATACATCGGGCGTGCTATGGAAATCCTGTGAGACATAATTGCTTTCATTGACCCGATCTAGGATTTGCTTTCTCACCTGAGTGCACCGAATTGAGCACCAATTCGTTTCGAACGTGTTGCAACAAAGAAAACAGGCGCCGGTTTTCCTTACCAGCTGAATTGTCCCCAAATGTTCGCGAAGAAAAGGCTCACATTTGGCAGACAAGGGTAAAATGTTGAGAAATTCCATCCGTTTTTGGCTTCCTTTGTCACCTTGGATGTCTTCTCAGTGAACACACAGTGTCATGATTTGCTTGGTGAATACCCTAACGATATCAAGTATTCTAGCGAAATTTCACACCACTGATTTTCTGCAACTATTTGCTCCATTTGGACAAACGTCCTTCAACTCGCCGGATCGCTACCTCTTTGCGGTTGAGGAATGACTGAGCATGCGATTTGCTAAATTCGCGTTCACATGCTTTTGGATGTAGCGTCCACCAATCGAGAAACTAGATTATCCCGTTGAGGACATCCTGCAGTGGAAACCACACAGGGCCTCTTTTGAAGGAGAATGCACCATGGGTGTGGCAATCTTTGCTCACCGTTTCACAAATCCCGAGAACCACCAATTAGTTGAGAGATTCTTAGCCTCAGCTTTGCATTCGTTCCATGTAGCACCAATTGGTAAATTCATGATAGAAATATCGGAAGACAGTAGATCCAAGTCGAGTAAGCATATTAAGCATTTCAAGAACAATCTAACAGCCTGTAGGAGCTTTAACTCATTTTGCTATTTTTAGCTTATTTCTCTTCGCACAGGGAAGATACTATCCACAATCATGTGACTCTCTAACCAAATCATTCAAAAGCTGTTGATATGCATGCAATCAATCGACAACTTACTTTTAACGCTAGCTTATTCCATCTAACCAACTACCACCTGTGTTTTCCCTGTGCAGTCTTTCTGCCCTACTCTCGTAGTGTATTTTCGGGAGCCTCCCAAAATATATCATTGGCATATCAACAAGACTTTATTTCTAACATCCAGTAAGGACGACGGGACATGGCTATTTTCGGACTCCGCACATAGTCAGCGCTCCTACAAGCCTACTGGCAAACATCCATCTAATCGGTGGATGTGATTATTATCGTACAAAAATGTGGTTGCATTTCCAATTCTTCCACTGTGGCGCGCCTCTTCTGCATCAGCATTACTAAAATTTCCCGCTGCATCCCTGCTGTCAATCGGATAGCAGCCTTTGCAGTGGCAATTATCTCTTCGGTCATAAAATAATTATCATCCTTCGCTTTTACCACTTCATTCACTGAGATAATTCTGATGTATTTACCCTTGGTATTAAACAGCCATTCTTACTAAATATGCCGCCCCCTCTCACGTGTCGCTTGAGGCGGACCGCTGCCCGCACCCACCTGCGCCCACTATGCTACGCCACTGAGTGCTTGTCCGAGCAAGCACGTGCATACGATGGGCACATTGCACGAGTGGGCAAACAGGCGAAAACGTCACAATTTGACATGGTCAAATAGCTAACTCGGATGTAAACCGGTGCACATAGGTGAAGTCACTGATGCGACGACCGTAGCGTACGAGGCTTTATGACATTAAGAAATATCGAATAACTACGTACTAACCTGTGCACTAAGACTTGAATGCGGCTACTAAGGGGACAGTCTTAGTGCATCTTCTACGAACGAAGCGCCCGTCTGAATGCTTGAATTACCACGATCGACCTCTGCTTATGACCGCTTGTCGAACACAATCCAACTTATCCACAGCCAGGCAGCTGGCCGACATTGGCCACGCCACCAACTTGGCAGAGTCATTTAAATTGATCCATCACGTACCAGACAATAGATAAAATTGCTTTCGTAGACGTTTGCTTGAATCTGCGAGGGCCATCGTGATTGGATTGCATGAGCCGGAGTTGCGTGTTCATAAACCGCTCGTTCAGACGTGAAAACTGGCTTGGCCCACCTGAACTGCGAAATCCGACTCACGAAATGGATTGTGTTCGCCACACTTTTGACCTAACGGATAATGACTGTGCTTGAGCAGTGACTGTGAACCGAATTCCTCTTTGTGTCAAACATTTTGTTTTTTCCACATCTAATTGTACAAGCCTGAAGAGGAATTATTGAGAACATATGTTCGCTTGCGTCCACTTTTAATAATACAATGGGATTTTTTACTACTGTAAACCAAGTTCGCCTGATCAGCTCGCGAATGACTCCCTATTCACTTGCTCAGCATACACATAGAGCAAGGAAAACCCTCACAAAGATGTGAACTCACTTCAGGCCCAACGATTGATCACCCACTGTGTTAGCAGCTGTATCTATCTCACATAGTCGCTTCCTGTCACAGAAACGGAAACAGGTACATTCTTATGCTTGGGGATTTGTGTGAGTAGTGTAATGTTCGTAGAAAATAGAAGTCACGATTAAACTGCACACAATAATCTGTCTCGACGGGGAATCGAACCCTGGTGGTAACTCAGTAGTAGAGCAACGGACCGGTAATTTGTGGGACCGGGGTTCGATTCCCCGTGAAGCAGCTTATTGTGTGCAGTTTAATCG